TAGCATCTGCAAACATATCAGTATAAGGTGTTACATCTTTCTGCATGTATCAGCACAGCCCACTCTCACCTCTCAGCGCGCACAAATTCCTAGCACAATTAAACTTTCTACATGGAATATTTTTAACAAGGCTATTGAACAACCCTCAAAGTCCTGAGGAGAGACTGGGGATGAGAAATGAAACAGCAGCCATTTCCTCTGCATTTTCACAGCGACAAGATTAAAGCTACTGAAGGCAACTCACTGACGTGAGCCCGCCTCCTTGGGCGACGGGCACAGACCTCAGAGGCATCAAGGTCACGCTAGTCCGAGGTTTACAGACGGTCTCTGATGAAGAGAATTAAAAGGTAAATGCAAAAATCTCATCTAGTTACAATTGGAAAAGGATAAACGTTACTACTAGTTTCTTCAGAATCTTTCCCCTAAAGAAGAGTTCACTACTACTTAAAAACTGCAGGGCTACATAAGCAGTATGTAGGCGAAAAGTATTTCATAAGTTACTTCGTCTAACGATGCTCCTGACCTTGAAAAAGTAGGCTAATGTCTCTCTCTATAGAGCAGATTCCCATTCCAGATACTGCTGAGCGAGGCACAGAACTCCCACCTGCCTACGGCAGCACAGAGGTTGCAGGTTATGGCTTACCCGGAGGTGCAAGTCCACGACTGCTCAAGAAACTTTGTGCAAATGTACAGTAAAGGACAGCTCCTACGCATGCAACATACAATCCAAGACACAAAGTAACAGATGGATAAAGCAAACTGATAGATAAGCAAAACACAGGCCATCTTTGATACAGAGGCTGACCTGTCCTTGAAAATCAGGTGTTTGCCCACTGCATGCAAATGCCAGGACAAGCCATCTCTTGATTAACAAACATCTCTTCCAGTACTGTCATGTCCCCTGCAATCTTGCCATCTCCAAACCAACGGGAAACGCAGTGGTCACAGCAAAGTAAGTTACTCTTTACTTGCTCTGCTCTTCAGGCAAGGGTGGCCTTGGCACACTTCTGTGAGTATCAGCACCATTTGCACAGACAAAGGCAATGCTCAACTGTCGTTCAGAGATTTACCACCCACTGAAGCTTCTAGCAGTGTGGCTGGTCTTATCTGCTTTCCTAAGGGCATCTTCTTTCACCATTTGCAGAACATGCTGGCCATGAAATGTGAAGCAAGTATCTTCACTGCCAGCTCCTGGTTGACAAGACCTACTTTTAGGGCTGCTGTCAAATTTGAACATTTGCAACTTGCCCAAACTGTGAATGGCATTTAGAAAGTGTCATGGTGAAAACTGTACAACGCCTTTGTAGGCAGAACATTTATGGTGCAAGCAAGCAAAACCACCAGATTTTCTGCTCTGGCTAATCTGAAGGAAACATTGCCTTTCACATACACTTCAACCAGACCACAGCCAGACACTCCAGGAATGCAGATCTGATCTTAATGTTAGCTTACTATAGCCTTAGTCTCTCAACTCAAGAAATTTCAAGCCAAGCTGTCAGGTTTTCTTGAGATGTTTTAATGATCATGCAGAACAAACAGCCATCCCTTCCTTAAGCACATATAAAATATTTCTGTCTCTAGGGTATTGAGAGCTCTTGCAGTTAAGGAATACATACAGCACTGTCATCACTACCACTGAAGAGCCTAGGCTTTATTCATTGCTGGATAATATTTTCTTTTGGCAAAAAAAAAAAAAAAAAAAAAAAAAAAGAAAGGACCAAGAGCAATTGTCTTGGTTTATGTAGTTACAGCAGAATGCATCCAGACAGGATCCTTTTGTGTGTTTGCGCCTCAGTTGGCCCTTAAACTGTTAATTCAGGCTGCTGAGCCTGCAAGATCGAATATACAAAACACGAAGAACTTGAGGGCCACAGCTGAGTACAAAAGAACAGTTTTATCACTGTAGTCTCTTTCCTGCTCTCACAGTCCCTCTCTTTTTCACATCTCTTTCATCACACCCCAGTGTGGGATCTCCACTCTATGCAATACTGACCTCTTGCAGCCCAACGAGGTTCACTCTCGCTCTGCAGCCCCACACGCCCCATCAGTTCACTTGGCCACAGCCCCACGGATCGCCTTCCCTCTTGGCTTTTTGTCACAACAAAGATTGACAGATTTCACCCTACTTTTCTAATATACATCATATAAACAAGTAGGTTTTTGCTTTCAAATGTCATTTCTTGAGCTGGATATTTAATAAAATTGATCCACTATGCAACCAACTTGCCTAATAAATGAAAAACTGCAAATGAAAATGAATGCATTTTGATCCACTGTGGAGTCCTATTTGGAGGACTGGGGCCACCCGTCTGGCTATCCGCTGAACCAGCCATATGAGCTGTACGAGACGCCGGGGTAAGCACATAGGGCAGGCCAAAAGGTCAGCTCGAGCCCGCGAAATGAGGAAGAAAATCGGCTGCTCCACCGCTCAAGCAGGAAGTAAGAGGCAAGAACAGAAACGGAAGAAAGATCAGCGCGGCCTGACAACAGCCAACCCGAGGGAAGATGAAAATGCATGGACCATGGACAAGGGTTCTAACCAATCAGATGATACGGGGATGCGTGCAGGGAAAGGAAAAATTGTACTTACGGGACAGCTTTGCTTCAATAAAGTGGCTTCAGCTTGATTCACACTGGATCGCACTGAGCCCATTGTTTTCTCTTCGCAGACGGTGACCCCGACGTGATGCACGACATGGCACATCAAAGCTGAAGGAGCGCTTGGGGAACCCCGAAGGAGAGCCCCAGCTAGAGGATGGCTCAGCAGGACTGAGACCGGGACGGATCGGAGGACGGTCCGGGGACAAAAGAAGAAGGGGACACCCTGTGAGGTGAGCAGCTGGGGCAGGAGATGGGTCAAGGAGTCACGAAAGAAGAAGGTGCAATTGTTAAACTTCTCCTGCATATACTCTCTGAGAGAGGGATTAAGTACGAAGAGCTTATGCTCCGGAAACTGTTAATCTGGTGTCGAGAAAATGGGTTCCCTGCTGAGAGAACGCTTTTAAAGTTGAAGTATGGGAAAAGGTTGGAGAAAAACTGCGGGACAGAGTAAGCAATGCTGGTAAAGCAGAAAGATCTGCAGCTGCTGGGGTGTTCGCCGCCCTAAGACCTTCATCAGAGTCAGCAGCATATCTGGCATATTAGAGTATTCGAACAACCTCCTGTCCCGTCTCCTGTGTCACTGTCAGCGCCCCCCATGGAGAAACAGCTAGGGACGGGAGAGGGGGAAATGGAGGTTGACAAGCCCTGGCCGTCGCCTCCGTCTTCAGGAGAAGAAGCTCCTGAAAGAACTGTAGGAGCCAAAGGTCCAAAGGATCAACCGTCACGCCAGCCGCCCGATAGCAGCGGGACAACATTTTATCCATCCCTACCGCCCTCACCACATCCATTTTCTTCACCTCAGCCGCCCCTCGCTCACCCAGAACAGGCAGAGTGGGCAAACAAAATGTTACAAAAGTTAGGGGAGAAGGAAAGCGAAAATCAGGAGAGAGTTTTGCAAGAGGAGGGAATGGCTGCGCTCGTGCGTTTGGAGGAGAACAAAAGATGGGGTCGAGGGGATGATGGCGGGGGTGGAGGAGGCGGGTTTGAAGGATATGACCCAATACCAGTAGTCCTGGGGGGTTGAAATCAGGCAAATCAGTGGGTCCTGCTGTCGTGGGATTTGATTAAGGAAGCTCATAAGTCTGTACAACAATACAGTTTGCATGGGCCTTTTACGCAAGCTACACTTAATAACATATTTACGGGGCATTTGCTAACACCTCCTGATATCAGACAATTGGCTCCCATTCTGCTGGGTCCTATGCAGGAAGTTCTATGGCGCACTCGGTGGCAGGACGCGGCTGCAGCCGCTGCTCTTGCTACTTTGCGTAGAGCTGAAGGGGGCCCCCTGCGCCTGGTCTGATCGTTGGGGGAGGTCAGTGCACTGATGCACAACAACAAGCTCGATTAAATACAGAGGTTTTGCACTTACCAGCGACCCTGGTGCGAGAGGCACTCCGGACCCTTCCTGGGGACAGTAAGCCGACACCACCGTATACTTCAGTCAAGCAGGGGGCCGTGGAATCCTATATGCACTTTTTAAATCTCCTCTGTGACGCGTTAGAGCGAACCCCACTACCAGACAAGGTACGGGAGGCCCTGTTAATGTCTTTGGCAGTAGAGAATGCTAATCTGGCTTGCAAACAAGTTTTATAGGCCCTGCCAAAGGACACTAGAATCGCACAAATGATGGATGCATGTGCACGAATAGGATCGGCTGAGGAATATGCTGGGTATCGAGCCTCTGCTTTCGCGGCTGTGGTCAAGCTGTTGGTCCAACAAGGAAGGGGTGACCTCATCCCACAATGCTTCAAATGCGGGAAGCCGGGACGCATCAAGGCACAATGCCAAGCGCGTCCAGGGAGTAAAGGGAAGAGAAAGGGTAAGCAGGATAACAAAGGAGGTTTTTCTGGGACGTGTAATCATTGTGGTAAATTTGGGCACCAAGCCTCAAATTGCCCATCACAGTTCCACAAAAATGGGACTTCTTTGGGAAACGGAAGGACAAGCACAACGGGGCTGGACGCTACGACACCAGCACAGTCCCAGGCTGCCTGGATGGCATCGCCGCCGCCACCATAAGCAGTGCCGGAGTGGGTGTCGCTACAGCAATACAAACAACTCTACTGACACACAGGTGCGATGTGTCCCAACTAACATGAAAGGTCCCCTAGGGCACGGTCTAAGCACTTTGCTACTAGGGCGATCATGCACTACCTGCAAAGGTCTTTTTGTGTTACCCGGAGTAATTGACGCAGACTTTGCAGGGATTATCTCCTTGATGGTCTGGACTCCAAACTCTCCTGTTGTCCTGCTCGCGGGAGCCCAGATTGGGCAGCATGTGGCATTCAAAGCCACTGTACCCTTGCTAGGGGGGCAAGCAGATTTGGTTCCATTAGTGCAGCAGAAGTATTTTTGACCATGGAAATTGCAAAAAAAAAAAAAAAAAAAAACACGGAATGGGTAACACTAAAAGAACTTGGAGGGCAGTCTCACAAGGTAAGCATGTTGATCGATACCAGTGCAGATGTTACTATTATCAGTCAAGGGGTATGGCCAGCCACATGGCCACTAGAGGTCATTCCAATACCAGTAATGGGGATTGGAGGCACCCACTCTACTAGATTGAGCAGGCACTTGATTCGACATGCCCTAAAAGATGGAAGTATTTGTACCATTCGTCCATATGTGATGAATTTCCCTATTAGGACACAACGCATTAAGCCAGCTGGGCACGCGACTGGTTACTGGTCAGGAGGGTTTTTAAAAGGCAGCCATTGGTGAGGGGCAACCGATCCTGAGGCTATCATGGAAAACAGAAAATCCTGTTTGGGTTGATCAGTGGCAGCTGTCAGCTGAAAAGATCACCCATCTCAAAACTCTCATACAGGAGCAGTTGGAAAAAGGCCACATCAAACCAGCAACCAGCCCCTGGAATACCCCAGTGTTTATCATTCCAAAAAAATCGGGTAAGTGGCAGTTGTTACATGACCTTAGGAAAATTAATGAGGTTATGGCCAACACGGGGACCGTACAGCCCGGCCTACCTTCACCAAACATGATTCCAGTGAATTCGACAATATTGATTATAGATTTAAAGGACTGCTTTTTTACGATTCCACTGCATCCAGATGATTATCAAAAATTTGCCTTTTTGGTGCCATCAGTTAATAAACAAGCATCGATGAAAAGGTACCACTGGGTGGTGTTGCCACAGGGAATGAAAAATTCACTATGTGTCAAACGTATGTGGCTTGGGCACTTGCTCCTGTACGACAGGCACACCCAGAATTGGTTATTTATCACTATACGGATGATAAATTGATTTCAGGAGAGAGACTGCAGCTTGACAAACTCATGACAGAAATAGAGGAGACCTTGAAAGAAAGAGGTCTTCAGATAGCTCCTGAGAAAATACAAACACGACCAGCCTGGAAATATCTCAGCTGGGAGATTACCGAAACAACAGTGAGACCCCAGAAAATAGAAATAAAATTTGATGTAAAATCCTTGAATGACATTCAAAAGGTAGTGGGAGATTTAAACAGGGTAAGAGCAATTTGCGGTCTTACCAATTCGGAACTAGCCCCTTTAATGAAACTGTTAAAGGGAGGAAGGGGTGCGGACGCACCTCAAGCATTGACAGAAGAGGCAGAACAAACTTTAAAAACAATAAGCAAAAAAGTCACTACAGGCACTACAGGGTATACATATCACTGGGATCCTGACTATGATATTGGCCTTTTGCTTATTAACCACAACCGTTATCCTTCTGCACTGATTATTCAGTGGGTAATGGATAATGACCCACTCCACATCTCAGAGTGGACCTTCTTGTCCATACAGCCAAAAGGAACCGCTACCACGCAGCTTGAGGCATTTGCTCAGTTAATAAAGAAGGGGAGACAGAGAATTGTGGAAATTGCAGGCACGGAGCCAGCGTTTATTGTCATACCATTAGCAGCAGAATATTTACAATGGGCTGTACAGAACTCAATTGCCTTACAGGTGGCGCTTTTGGAGTTTCAGGGGGGAACTGAAGGTTCATCTGCCTCCCCACCTATTTTTTAGTCTATCATCTTTAGGACAGTATGAGGAGCAGCTACCAAAGCAATCATGGTATCCAGTTGCAGGGTTAACGGTTTTTACAGATGCTGGGAGAAAATCCCAGAAAGCAGCCTTAACTTGGAGGGAGGACAAGCAGTGGCATGATGTGGTCATTACAGACTTCCAGGGCTCCACATAGCAACTTGAGTTGTGAGCAGTGGTGGAAGTGTTTCGTCGGTGGCAAACACAACCTATTAATTTAGTCTGTGATTCTCTAAATGTGGTAGGAATAGTACAACGAATGGAATGTGCTTTTTGAAGTAGATAACGAACAGCTGTTTTTATTGTTCAAGGAATTATGGCTCTTGCTAGAAGAGAGAAAATGCAGGTATTTTATTACCCATATTTGGAGCCACATGGGTATCCTAGATGGCCTGGCAGAAGGTAACAAAAGAGCTGACATGCTTGTGGTACTCGCATGGGCAGCCCCATCTGTTGATCGCTCTACACAAGCTAGGCGATCGCACAAATTTTTTCACCAGTCTGCAAATGTCCTTCAACGTCGATTCGGCTTAATGGAAACCGATGCAAGAGGCATAATAAAATCTTGTCCAGACTGCCAGCAACATACCAGAGGACTGGTCGCGGGGGAGCTAACCCCCAGGGCACTGGTCCTTTAGAAGTTTGGCAGATGGACGTTACACATTTTCCAGAATTTGGAAAGCAAAAGTATGTGGATTGCTTTTCACTTGTTGCGTGGGCAACAGCACAGACTGGGGAAGCCAGTAAACAGGTACAACGCCATATGCGGGCTGCGATGGCGGCTCTGGGCATCCCTTGGGAAGTAAAAACCGACAATGGCCCCTGCTATATCTCTAAAAGTACAGAGGATATTTTTTGCTTATGGGGCATTACACATGTTACGGGCATCCCTCACTCTCTCACAGGGCAGGCTATTGTAGAGTGCATGAATCAGATGTTGAAGTGTCTGCTTCACAAACAAAAAGGGGGAGAATTGGGATTGTCTCCCAACGATCGGTTATATAAAGCATTGTATGTTTTGAACTTTCTGCGGTTACCACAGGACAGCCTGGTGCCTCCAGCGGTAAAACATGGAGCAGGATGAAAAGGGGATCTCAGAGAACTAAAACAAGGACAATGCAAAGTCATGGTAAAAAACGGGACCACAGGAACGTGGGAAGGGCCAGCAGACTTGGGGAAATAACTTGGGGAAAAGGGTATGCCTGTGTCACTACAGATACCAGAACCAGATGGGTACCAGTGAAATGCGTGAGACCATGGCTGGAAGCAGACTCGCATAAAACAGATGTAGCAGGCAAGCAACAGGTACCCTAGCTGTGGAAAGTGTGAACCTGCAAGAGGAAACATGGAAAGAGGAAGTGTTACTGTTATTAGCTGTATACTATGGCTCATAGCGGGTAATGTTGCTTTTAACGCTATTATAGGGGCTGATGCTGCTTTTAACACTAACGGATATGTTATGCTTCTTAAACAGATTGTTAATTATACCCAAATCAAGAGTTGGCTTTGTGGAACAGCAGATCAATTTGATGCACTGGTGTCAGGCATTCCTTTAAGCAACTGGACAGACCTGAATCCATAAGCCTACATAACATATCAATGCGCAAAATAAAGTGTCGCTATGGAAGGAATATCTTTTATACTTCAATTGATTAATAACACGGTACCTTATATTGATTATAGTTTACCAGGCCTAAACCTAGGCACCTTTCAAAACAAAACAGGTAATTGGGCAGCCATTAAGCTTAGGTTGAGCAACCCCAAGGATTTCTATTCCCAGAGTATATACTCTGAGGGAGTAGGAAGCCAAAAATGGGCTGATTACTTATGGGGAAGAGCCACCACGAATACATATCTAAGAACAGATGCAACTTGCAACTTGCCGAAGGGTTACTAGTGGCTGTGTGGAGACCATGTTGCCTGAAAACAGCTCCCAAGCAACGGGTCAGGAGAATGTACCAGGGGAATTTTAGCCCCTCCGCTGACTGCATCTAGCCATTCAGACATGAGGGGAGTAGTAAGGGCCTTTTGGGGAAAGTCTAGAACCAAACAAGAGGTTAGCAATCCTTTAACAATATGCAATACCGGGTTCCATAGCTTTGTTAGGGCACTTTCGCCAACCCTTGGTATTGTTGAATCAGAGAGGGCGATTGTGAACATTTCAGGTGAAATGGAAATCAGAACAGCAGAACCAATTTTTGGGTTGCAAACAGAAGTGGATTCCCTGAAAAAAAAGTCTTACAAAATCGAAAGGCTCTTGATAACCTAACTGCACAGGCTGGAGGAGTATGTACCCTGATAAATAAAACATGTTGCAGCTATATCGATCAGTGCGGCAAATTACTTTCGGATGTCCAAGACATTTGGGATCATGCAAAGATTTTGCATAAAGTTACAGAGGATAAGGGTCTGTCATGGTTGGACAATCTGTTAAGTGGATGGGAAATTTTTCGGGATGGTTCTGATCATTAATCAGCGGTGCGGGGATAGTGGTGTTGATTTTACGTTGTATTCTACTAATTGTGCCTTGCCTGTTGAAATGTGTGTCTAATATGATTGATAATGCCCTAAAGGTTTGGCTGGTTCAAAAACAAAAAGGGGAATTGTGGAGTCGTATTTGGAGGACTGTGGCCATCCGTCTGGCTATCTGCTGAACAAGAACAGAAACGGAGGAAAGATCAGCGCGGCCTGACAACAGCCAACCCGAGGGAAGATGAAAATGCATGGACAAGGGCTCTAACCAATCACACGATACGGGAATGCGTGCAGGGAAAGGAAAAATTGTACTTACGGGACAGCTTTGCTTCAATAAAGTGGCTTCAGCTTGATTCACACTGGATCTCACTGAGCCCATTGTTTTCTCTCGGCAATCCACCATTACACATTGTTCCTATAAGCAAGAACTCAACCTGCTGTGCTACTGAGAGCAAAAATGCTCTTTAGTAATTCAGATGAGTGATCACTTGGCAGACATGAATATTAGATATGCAAGTTTTCATCCTCAAATAGATTCTCAAGCAAATTAACTTCACTGGCTGAATCACAGAATTACAAGAGCACTGTTTCCCAGATTGCCTTGACAATAGTCTCTGCCTCCCCTTTCCTTCACTGAATTTAAATAAAACTAGATAATTCTGATAACTGTCAGTCAACTAATAGCTTCCTGACAGATATCATGCAGTCAGACCTGAAACACTTCTGTGCAGTGTGTCATAATCCACAGGTATATGAACTACTCTGAGTGCTAACAAAATGCATAAGACTTCTTACAAATATGATTTGAGCTGATGAACTTGTTGGACTGTCTATTATGCAAATGAGGATTTACCTTAAAATCAAAGTAATTCAACAATATCATTTTACAGGCTTACGCTGCCAAGGCAACTTTCCTAATATGACATACAACATATTAACCATTCAAAATCCCTTAATTTTAAAGTATCCAGTGGTTGTGAGCTTTGATATTGATAATGTTCTTTCCTCTCTGACAATTTCCATTTGGCAATTTCCTTAGTCGTTGCAATATTGGTTATTTTAATATTCACCCAATTTTAGTGAGGGAAAAATCAAGGTTCTTGGAAATAAAGTGATTTCTCATTAACAGTAAGTCATTAGGCTAGTCAGAAATAAAACTTAAGCTTGCCTGTCATGTATATTAGATTTTAGACTGTGCTGCCTTTCTTTAATGTAAAAGAATGTCTTTTGCTAGTGAAATTTCTCACACATACTCATGTACTCAAATTCTTTTGCATGCCATATATAAAATTTACAATACAGTTGTGAAACACAGCAGTATCTTAATCCCCATGTTAGTAATGAAATAATGAGGGTGTAGAAAAGTTAGGCCATTTGAATGTGAAGACTTGTGTCAGAACCTGTGAACCTGTGTCAGAATACAACATTTCATCTACTTCACTACCTGGCATCAATGACAGAGAGCCCACCTCAAGATGTCTTGTGGAGCCTCTGTTCATATGACTATCTAATCATTCCATTAATTATTAGAATAAATCAACTTCCTCAAGTCTGAAGAACAGAACTTGTATCTGACTCTCTCTTCTCATTTCCAATCTAATAAATAATGCCCTGAATGCCAGAAAACCAAATTAAGACTTTTTGTGTAGTGTCTTTCACTAATGTCTCCAATGTGAGCACCAGCAACTTCACTTGCAGGCCTGTTCAGCCCAAGGAGGTATGTTGCAAAGGTTGGTACACAGCTTTCTTTCACCTTTTTAAAAGGGGACCGATCTAGACTCCAAATATAAAGAAGAAATCTGTCCAAATGGATATTTCAGTCCAATCTGTACAGATCTGTCCAACTGAATATCACAGTTGGACAGTTCAAGGAAGACTTCCACTTCGTGATAGCTGCAACTTAAACACAAAAAAGTGAACCTGCTAAACTGGATGAGAATCAGAACAATGAATAACATGAAGAACAAATAAGTAAATAAAAGCTGTTCAAATCACTTGACATAAAAATCTATGCAGTTAAACTACCAGTTTCAGAAACCAAGGCTGAGTAGGGGCATGAAACAGTAGGCACACAAAATTCAAGGCTGAGTACGGGCATGAAACAGTAGGCACACAAAATTGAGAAGTCTGGTATTGAATCCTGAAAAACAAAAAACAGAGAAAGGGGTCATGACAGGATTTGATTAAGGAATATTGGAAAAGGTGAAACATCAGGGATTTCTGCTTTGTCAATCTCATAACAGAAGAGCTTGCAGATTTTCAATGAAGCGAGGAATAAATTCCAATGTGGCAAAAGATTTTTTCCTGAATAACATATAGCAAAATTCTAGAGCTCACAGCCACACAAAACCAAAAAATTCTTGGAATAAGAAAGTTTATGCACTTGCATATATAACAAAATCTAGTTATAATTAATGCTTCAGGGATATTAACTTCAGGCTTCAGATGCTTATACTAATCTCCTGCTTTAAGAGGTCAGGATGAAACTGAACATGATGGACAGATCA